AGTTAGAGGGTTAACAACAAGAAAACAGGCTGGAAACATTTTAATTAACCATTCAGGTTAACAAATTCTGACTGAATATAGCTGAATAAATCATCAAGCCCAAGGCTGCCTAAACTTTCTAGTTCTGATCTGGTTGAGTTTCAAATCTATAAGCTGGATATTTGTATGGAAATAAACAATAGCTCCGATAGAACCTGCGAATCTAAGGCCTGCGGATTCAAGACCCATCCAGCTATATGCAAACGAGAAGTGCTGCATCTTAAATTAATTTGCATACTATAGAAATTAGCAGGTAGGGTTTAATACATAAACACTTATATTATGATAAAAGTCTAATATGATAAGCTTTTTGGTGAATGTGATGTTATGAAAACTAAGTACCAGTGATGTTCTGTATAATGAACAAGCTCCTGTTATTACTAAGCACTTATCAAAACTCAGGAGATTAAAAGGAGGAAAAAAATTGATTATAGTGACCCGCCATAATCCAAAAGTATAACAACATGTAATGAAAAGGTCGAGGTTGTTATATTCAAAGTTAATAAAAGTATACTGGTAAAGATAGTCATTATATCTCTCAGTTAGAACATGTGCTTTAATTGGTTAATTTAGCAGGCCATACTTCACTGCACAGCCAACTAAATTCAAAAGTTTCTTTGAATTGAATCTTCTATTTCAACCCAGAGATAAAATAAGTATCTCAGTAACCTGGTTTACTAAGTCTGTATTGTAAGTTACGGAAGCTTGCTTTTTTTCCACTCAGATTTATCACACATGAGACATAAATCCAGGTGCAAAAAAATTGGTCTGTAACTTACAGTAAAGACCTCAAACTCAGTTAATAAGAGATGTAAATAAAGTTATAAGACATATGAAATGACATCTAAATATATCTTACCCTGCAGCTAGTGCTTTTGCAGCATTAAAGTGGAGCATTTCTCTGTCATTAAGTTTGCCCTTTGAAGCTAGTGACTGGGCAACATCCATAGAATTCTTTACTTCCAAGATAGATGCCAAAACATGACCCATGGCTGTTGTGAAAAGACAAAAGGTCAAAATCAGTATGATGTCATTTACGCAAAACAGAAAAACCGTAAGTAGTCCCTCCTTTTCAACAAAATCCACTGTGGAAGTAGGAAAAAAATCAGCTGTAAAAAAATTAAGTGACAAAAGTCTTGGCAAACTCAACAACTAATACCATTTCAATTTTGTCAATCAATAACTTTTATTTTCCTCCCTATCTCGTCCAGTTTAATGTTTTCAAATGTTAAAACATGCTCACTCTTTTCTTGTCACATTGATTTGGTGAAAATGTGGGGACTTACAAATACATGACAGTAACTTATTAGAGATCATGCATTTACAAAATTGTTGATTTTTAAATTGTTCTGTTGATGGCCATTGATCACTTGCTAAGAGGAAAAGTGCCAACTACTTTAATGCCAGTAGAGTAGGTGTAATACCCTTAGTTAGCACTTAAAACTATCATTTGGAAAGATTTCCAGCAGTTTAGAAGTTTTCCATATTATGCATTTTTTTTAAAATACTATTTCACAAATGAATTTAAAAAACCTGTAACTCTGAAAATAATCTTTACAAATTTTTACATGTCTACTATGCTAAAGGACCATCTGAATTCATTTTATAGATGGACGCCCATTAAGAAAGCTTAGTACATTTACCAAAATCAGGATCTGCCTCCAACATTCTGGTTATTGAATTCTGCAGACCACCAACACTGTCATAGTCAAGGTGAGCCACAACCTTAAAAACAGCAACTATTGGTTACAAGTTGGAATAATCAATGATTATAGAAAGGAAATGATCATGAATGAACCAATATAATTAGAGGAAAAAATTTAACCACCTGTCCACTACAAATATCTATCAGAGATCAAATTTGATAGCAACCTCTTAATTAATGGTTGGTACTTTTCTTTATCTGGTTGCTGATGTGTTCAACTAGTCTAACATGCATATGGATGACCAACAAGTAATATTGACACATTTTCTAAAGGAAAATAAAGTCCCCTTTTTTCCATCAAAATGTGTTTTATAGCAATTCTGAAATTACTAACAACTCCTTCAATATTGACCTAACCTGAGTGAGGGAGGCATCGAACATTTTCGCTGCTTCATTGCTTGTTGTTGACAGTAAAAGACCTTCCTTCCTCCATGCCTACAAAACAAAACATTTTTCTTCCTTTTAACGATAAGAGTGATAAGCATCTTACTTCTCCTTACGGCAACAGACGTAAAAACAAAATGCAGCATTTTATAGTTAGCATTATATTGATCGTGATGATCTGCTCTCAGAAAAATCTTACATTTTTTTTTCTTCGAAAATTATCAAGGCGGTTTATTTCCTCCATCTAATGATAATAACTACTACGAATCAATTTCTTTATTATTTTTGCTTGGTCATGGCTCCCCATTACAATGATCTTCGATCCCCGATCTTCGACCTGCAGCATATATGTTCATGTAGTTACGATCTATTACAATTTGCGAGTATATAAAGATACCAACTCCAAGTCTACTACGAAAAGCATGAAAAAGCAATTTTTGGGGGTCTGATTAAAGCGAAAAAAAAAAATTGTCCGCCTGTCACATAATTCAAACACCATATCCCCTTGGGAAGAAGGGCGGAACTAGAAGGTAGAGGCGAATGCATCACATCTAAAGCAAAACAAATAGAGACACTAACATCAACATCTCGCCAGTGGGTGTGTAGGTATGACATTTTCAACGCAATCAAGCACGAATCTGGACAACGACTGACTTCCCCGCAGACAACTCCAACCACTGTCACCTGTCCAATGTCACGGAGAGAATGACAAAGCACGCGAGAAGTATTTATAATTATTAAGGGACTGGTGCCCCCTAATTTAGGTCCAGAGCCTGCTATTCTTTTGGTCAGTGCTAGTGATGACGTAACGCAAGAAAGATAGCTTTCGTGTCATGCAAACCTGTCACTCAGTTAGAAACGAAATAAGTGGTTTGGCGTGAAAGGGAAGTTTGTCTTTATATTAGGCTTAGACCAAAAAAATCGTGAGAATTATGCAGATGTTAAGAAAATGTTAGGAATATCTCGAGAGCTTTGGGGGGAAAGAGGAAATTCTGAATGGATTTTTACTGCAGTTTACGGAATGTGTTAACCCTTTAACTGGAAGGGTTAACATGGGCAGACAGAATCTCTTTCAGAAAAGGTCGAGACAATTACGTTACAAGGAGGATAAAAGAAACACAGGCGATTTTGAAGAGAAAGTCACTCAAAGGAGCGTTCATCGTTTATGAACGCTGAGGGGGAGGGGGGGGGGAAAAGAGGGTGGGGGTGAATTAGGGAATTTTTGTTGTGTCACGATAAAATTTTCCTGATCCCCCTGTCAGGATTTGTAGTATTTTTATGAACCCCCTCCGGCACATATTAACCACGTAGAGAATATCCTTTTATTGCTTTATTGGATAGATGCTAAAACTGCAACATAAAGATGATTAAAAGAACGGCTAAAATATCTAAAGGTACAGCTACAAACAAAAATAAAATCAACTCTACATTTACATATATTTACAGAGAATTAAAATATATGACATAATGGTCTAGATGCTTATAATTCATAGAATGTTCAGAATTGACTTCTAGAAGCAAGCTCAATTCTATTCGCTCCCGAATTGACTTCGGGTGTTATTTCAGAGACGTGTGGTCGGTTCTAGTGTGAAAGACCTTCCTCCCTCTAACTCCCGTTTGAAAGGTTAAATAAGAAAGTGAGATCTAAACAGTGTTTGATCCCTGAATAATCGCTGAATTGGCTGAGCCACTCATGCGCAGCACTTGTTCTTAAATATAATGTGGTAAGTGAGGTGGCCTCTCCCATAAGCTCGGTGGCTTCGTGGGTCTTCTCGCCTTTTTTAAATCAGAATTCTGTAGTTAAATAATTTGCGTTGTTGAAAAAGGCAAATAAAGTGACGATGATGATGATGATGATAGCGTTGCGATTAGACGTGAAAGGTAAGTAAAGATGAGAGACTCAGTATATATAAACTCAGTGAGTCCGCACGAAATAATTCCCTGTGGATTGACAAAAATAAAACATACCACTTCAGTTTTTATCCATCGACACTGTACATATCTTTTACATTTTTCTGATGGTTCATCTGTAATAGTTATTTTTTCATTAACTGATAATTTTCAGTTGCCCAGGGCACCAATTAGTAACAACTTCAGCTGATGGGTTTACCCTGGTCAACTAGGTCATTATTATTATTACTCCATGTCATTGTTATAAAAGAGGAAGTACTTGTGCCATAAGTCTGTCCGTCAGGGGTGCGTTATCTTTTTTGGCTTTCTTTTCAGCAATAAGACATCTGAAAAAACAACAGCAACAACAACAACAATAAAAGAAAAAAACAGAAAAAAAGGATCAAACAAAAAGAAAAAAAACAAAACAAAAGAGTGGAGAAGAGCTTAGAACAAAGTATAAATATATTTATACCCACATCGAGAGACTTTAATAACACAGCAGAACCCAACAAGACACAGGAGAGAAACTGTTGTAACTACAACATATCTGGAAAAGTCCGAAATTTGTCAGAAATAATCCGCTGAGCGTGTCCCTTCATTAGATACACAATGTAGGGGCGTCGATAACTAATTGATACACTAAGTGATTACCTGGCAAATTGGTGATCCTCCTTTCGATGAGAGTGCATGGCAGCATTTATCAAGAATAACTCGTAAACATCTCGCTAAAACAGACACAAGAACGCAAGGATTTTTGTTTTGCAGCACAGTTTTCCTCCATCTAAAAACGTCTTTGAGGAGGCTCAAAATATTACGTCATGACATATTCGAGTTACTTGCATTTGTTTAATGATGGGGCCAAAGCCATCGGCCAAATTCCTCCTTCACTTTTTGTTTTAACATGTTACTTAAACAGTATCATATTCTCCAGGAACCTGGCTCATTGACTGTAGGATGTATCATATATCTGTATTCCCAGCTCATTTCCTACTCATGGGCACCTGGTAAGAGGCACTCGTGCGCCTCTCTCAAGAACGTAGTACAACCAAACTACGCCTAGAAATACACCATTATGGGAGTTAAACAGGTTTTCTCTTGAGATATCTACCAAACAGCCTTTTAGGACCTAATGAATTCATGGAAGATAAGATTGTCGGCTCAGATCTCATAAATCTGAAGGTAGCCTCCTGGAATTTAAGAAAAAAGGATCCCTAAAACGTCCGTTCAACATCAAGAGAGCGGTAGAAGTGTTTTGATCGGCTAGTGGAAGTTCTGTGCCATCATTAGACACACGAACAACAAAAAACAAAATTATGTCAGAGATCTGAGATCTGATTTACGCACTCTGTAAAAATGCTTTTTAAACCTTACCTGAGCTCGACTTCCTCCTATAAGATCTACTTTATAACGAAGAGGTTTCAAAATCGACACAGCTTTATCGAAGTCTCCCTGGAAAAAAAAAACAGGAAAAAAAACTTTTGAACTTGATTTCAACCAAAATCTTCTTAGTCTTCACTCTCCGGGACCACTCACTTTATCAGCTTCCACAAATGCTTCGCAGATGGCGAGACCAACCGCACGTGATACTTCACAATTGTAGCCTGACCCATCTCTGATGAGAATCAAAGGAAACAACTATGAGGCTGTTGAATGAATGGGGTAAGTTTCTATAAGAACTGTGTTAATGCGTCGGTGATAGAGTATAACAGGGTAATTTAGTATTATCAACTGAGTTGATAACGTAAACTACCCACCGTAAAGAGTTTAAAAGTTGACATTTCGAGCGTTAGCCTTTCGTCAGAGGAAATGACCAAGGGCTAACGTTCGAAACGTCAGCTTTAACACCCTTTACGGTCGCCAATTTACGTTATAAACTCAGTTGATAATAATTGATTATCCAACTAAGAGACTGCTACGACGACCAAAGTCTCACAAGTACGATAGCATTCCTACCTAACATATTTCCTCAAGGAATCCAACAGTTTCATGGTTAAGTCTTCATTTTTGGCACCCAGCGTGCTCATAAGCATGTGAGTATCACTAAATGCCTGTAGATAACCAGTGTTAAGCACAGACCTGTGTTAATTTCGATTGTAATGCACGGGTAAATCTCAAGCCTGCATGCGATCTTTTCAAACAAGTTCACCCACCATTAAATGGTCGTTTGCATGGCTTTCCCAATACTGACAAAGCTGTTGCCATCTGTCTCCAACATCGACTCCTGCCAACAAAGAAAGACACTTAAGCCCTCTTTTTGTTTTTGGACTTAATCACGTGCCCTATTTAGAAATATGCACCGCACGCAAGCTTAAACTGAAAAATGCACATGGGTTTATAATCTGTTTCATGCATCATTACGATCATCTTTTCATGTCACTACTGTGTCAACTGACCTTCAAGTTTCAGTCTGTACAATAGAGATGATCCATCCCTCAGCGTAAAAACCTTGCTTACTTTAAATCGTGGAGCCATCTGCAATGGTTCAATAAAATTTAATTTCAAAGCAGCCGAAGGCGACTTTACCAATAACAATTCCAGGTGACAATGATGGTAGCGAAGAGCTTGGCTGACGAAGAAAGAGACTCAATTGACATGTACAATTCCGTACCTCAGTATCATAGACATTAAGCGCTGCTTCATAGTCTCCCTGAAATCAATAGAAAATTAGACAAATCAAATTCCTTATTTGTTTAGTAACGTGAGAGACAAAGTCAAAACAAGTGAGAAGGGTGATCCAAACAAAAAAACAGAATTATTCTGTCTCAAACAATGCACAATGCAATACAAGAACTACGCGGGATGGCAAGTGAGGAACTGATTACAATTGCCATGCTATCAACTTACTCCTTCAAACATCAGTTAGCAGTGGTGCCCTCTCAACAAACTAATTCAAGCTCTGTTTAAGCCCAAATTCTCCTTTCAGGATCAAAACATCCTTGCGCTCCGCGCACATATTATCTATCACTTCTAGCCAAATAATTTCTTATTTGGCCCTCCGAATCACTTCACGAGTAAATGCTATCAATCCTTTGTGCTGTATCCTTGGAGGTTAGAGGAAGCTTTTTCCCATTTGAAACTCATAGTACTCATCATAACGTGTCATTTTTTCACTTTTATTGCAAACATACCTTCTCAATATAATACAAAGCCCAGTGCCAGAAATTGTGACAGGCCAAAGACTCGCAAGGCTGGCCAGATAATAAAAAACATACTTCGTGTTACAATGACTACTTGTACGATATCATAATTCAGAAAGAGTGAAAGATGTTTTTCATCTTGTCACGAGCGTGGGACAAAGAAAAAAATTCTGAGTCCCAATGAGGAATCAAACCTCAGACCTATGGATTCCGCACTCCGATGCTCTACCGCTGACCCATAGAGACTCTGCGGTGAGCGAAGCCTATTACGAAGTTCATTTGTGACACACGTCCAGCATACTACAAGGATAAGTAATGTCGATAGCGTCATGTTGGTAAATAGAATAAGAAAAATGGTAAGTTAACGGAAATAGGATCGATATGCCTTCACTAGCATCATCCCCCCATAAACCCCCGGCCGTAATCTACGGGGGAAGGGGGGGTTAAGCATTAAACAAGCATACATTACACACAAAAAAGCCAGAGATCTCTCGTGTCCAAAAATTTAAAGCACATGTTGAACAAGAAAAAAAATCGTACCTTCCAGTTTTCCACGGTTTTACTCATGAATTCAATCCCTTCATCCTGTCGGCCTTCCATCTCCATAACATGCGCCAAGGCATGTGTTGCCCACGTGTCTGTAGGAATCAGCTCCAATCCCTACCGTTCATATGAACAGGCG